CCAAATCTCAATAGCCTAGCTCCCATAGTTTCCGAGATCTCAGCGTTCATCCGGACGGACAGACAGACGGACAGACGGACAGACGGTCAGACGGACAGACGGACAGACGGACAGACGGACAGACGGACAGACGGACATGGCTAGATCGACTCGGCTAGTGATCCTGATGAAGAATATATATACTTTATGGGGTCGGAAACGCTTCCTTCTGCCTGTTACATACTTTCCGACGAATCTAGTATACCCTTTTACTCTACGAGTAACGGGTATAAAAATATGAACAACAAAAATGAATTAAAACTTCCGCTTGCAGTTCGGTATCTACAAATACAGCCACAAAGTTGAGGGGGCGGACATTCCGAATGGCGATGAGGGGGAGAAGCTGGGGGCAGTTGGGGGTACGGGTATCGCAGACATGACCAGGTTTTGTTATTTTTCGTGTTGTTGGGTCTCCCACATTGATAAAGGCTTTGGAAAGAAACTCACTCTTAAAGTGTCGGACATGCTGGTGTCTGCCAGCGGCGTTTTCTTGTTGGGAACAGGTTTTCCCAGGCATTTTCCCCTGCCCCACAAACATTCCTACCCACCATTTACATTTAGATATTCGGTTCGTAGACTTTTTGGGCCATTGAAAATGCACTTTGGTCTATTCTAATTTATGCGGGCTCAAAGGTGGTTCAAATGTTTGCTCGAATGATGCATTTAATTTCGAGTTTCTTGCCTTAAAGTGTGTCTTAATTTGGAGAGAGTGTTTGTAGAACCTATAAACAGGTTGTCGACGAGGCGTAAAATATATGAATAAATATAAAGATTAGCGCCATGTGATAAACTTGTTATTGAGATGTACGTAACATTTATTAGTATTTATTATTGAAGATGATTAAATAAATGTATTCAGAGCTGCTTTATAAATTAAAAAATAAAGAGGATTGTCTGGAATTTTAGTTAAAATTCAAATATAAAAAGCCATTTAAAGTTTCAGATAACTATTCGTAAACTAAGTAGCACCTTTTTTGGCTTTAACGGAACAAAACACTGAGTGCCAGCTGAAATGTATTTTACATTTAAATAACATCAACCACTTTTCGCCCTTTCTAAAAATGCCAATTCGCTGAACTATTTCTATCAAAAGTTCGATACTCCGCCATCAACCAATTGAATAAAACATTTTGCACTTGAAATTACCAATTTGTTTCCCTTCGATTCCGCCAAAACTCAATTTGCGCACATAACAATGAAGCAAAAGCTGTTAAAATTAAATATGTACATATATACCAATGTTTTTTGCAGAAAGAACGAAAACTAAAAAGCAATCCAAAAATTAAGGGAAATGCTCCAAAGTGTATTGTATATACCTAAGCTCAACCTCCAATCGCAATGCATGTCACATGCAATGAAATGTCGTAAGAAGTCACGTTCCAAGCCATACAAAAGTTGCCGGTAATCGAACTCAGCTCAACGTTAGAGATACAAACAAATACCGGGAAATTGATCGAAAATTTGTAGCTACGTGTGTGCGAATGGAATTTCGGTCGCCAAAGTCTACATTTCCCATATGGCCTGTAAAACCGAGCAATTAAATTTTCGACCTCCCTTTAGTACAGCAAGAAAGCTGAAATTTTCATTATAAAGTCATGACAACAGAAACCCATCCAACCATGGGGGAGATAATAGAAAATTTGGTGAGTGCGAGGCTTGGCCATAAAATAGAAAGCACTGAACCAGAAGAAGAAACAAATTCTTTTAAGCTTGTTATTTATTCAAATTTAAATATAGGTTTATGGGTACCTAAGTAAAGACTACGTCTTTAAAATAAGTGATTCTCGCAGGTCTATTAAAAATATATAGATACATTCAATGTTTTTGATAAATAGAGATGGTATACCGTTCCGCCAAACTTAAAAAAATAATTATTTTGTATAAACATGGGAGTGGTTATTACACATTTAAATATACTACTTGATATCTCATCTTAATGGCAAGTCTATAAATTCAATTTCAGAACAACAATGTCGCTTTAATGTTTCCAAAAGCTATTTAAAGCTTTAGTGTTTAAATCAATTCCCAGTATTTAAGTACATATTAAAGCCCCACTTCAAAGTACTATCCCACCCATTTAATTGTTCAGCCGAACGGAACGCTAGCCCCTTAATTTTCCAAGCAATGCGTAACGAAATGTTTGCCTATATGCGTTCTATTCCTCTCATTTGGTGGCTGATAAGAGGTATACACTATTGCGTGGCTTATCAATTTCGTGGCCATATAGGAAAGTTCCTTCACCTCATCCATGTTGCTTGACACACATGCAGGGGAAAACAAATAAATATTTGCTCAATGGCGCTATAGTTGGTGGTACACCAGTGCGTGCTGGTGCTGTCTGTTGACCCACAATAAATGAGGGATCGAGGCACAACAGTCGCCGGCACAAGCCAAATGGGCTTCCAATAATAAACAGACCGAGGGAAGTTGGGGCCAGTCGAAGTCCCACTCCCCCGTCCTCAGTTTGGTTTGTTTACATATATAATTTCTGTTTTCGTTTCATTCGATGCGGGTCACGCTTTGCAAGAATAATTCGAAAACCCATAAAGAATTAAACAAAAAAGATTACAATGAGATAAACCGAAACCAGGAAGAACTTTCCCTAACTCTTCAGGGGTGAATACATAATAAATTATAATTAAAAGTCAGCACTGCGGTATGAAACAGTTAACTGTCATATGTAAGTGCCTTTTATAAGCTATAGTACTGTAAGTCTTTTATTATACTATTATAACTATCTCGTCACATTCCAATTAACTCAAAAATTACATACCTATTAACTTATTGTAATCAGCCTTAATAAAATCCAACAATAAATCAACAAACTTCTTAAAAAAAATTACCCTGCTTTTTTTGCTTTGATCTCAGAAAAGTTAAAAACTGATAATTACAAAACCTAATTATAGACCTAAATTTTATGGTTTTGTATTCAATCGAGAACCTTATAGTTGAAACAAAAATGTAAAATCGACTCTTACATTTTAATTCACTATCTAGTTTTAATAACTATATTTCCCATAAATTCGTCTATCCTGAGTACCGTTCCCCAATTTGCAAACTTAATTGGCTGTTTGATATAATATTTCAAGCCCAATAACCGGCTTTCAGAGGACTGTCAATAAATCAACGAGGCTGTTCGACAAACTTTTCACACTCCATGGAGCAACTTTCGTCTAACATTAAAACATTTCAACACACAATGGAGCTGCCAAAAGAATAATGCCATAATCAAAACTTTATATCATGACAGGAATCGGGGGGAAAAAATCTCTCAACAGACAAAACGACTGGCAATCGATATTTCTCGCTTAACGGGCTTACATATCAAACAATTTTGCTCGGCTCCTCTCGATTTGCATATCGGACTGCTGGGCTCACAAACAAAAAGCTATAAAATATCAATTTATTGCTTTATAATTGAAGGCAATAAATGTTTGTAAAAGTAACAATAACAAATGGAAAGGTGGGGGGTTGTGGGGAATCAGGGGAAACACAAAAAGACAAACTGTAATGACATCAGTACGTCATTCAGGCAGTTGATCCATTGAACGCAATTCCATTGAATTGAATTCGAGTCAGCACACAATATTTCTGTTTTGCTTGGTTTTTCAATTTGCAATAAATTTGCCTCGAAACTTAACTACATTGAAATAATAATCGGTCGAGAGTCAGAGATAGAAAATAATGAAAAAAGCCCAAAACAAAATTCGACAAAAAATGTGAATTGCAAATTTCGGTTGATTGTTTTGTATTTTAAGGTTATTTGTTGGGAGTATCATGAATATTGGAAGTAATTTGTGTTTCGCATGCTTATATTGATTTTGTGTAGCAGCGTTATATAAAGCCTTTAGTATTTTTTCTATATTAAATAAATAGGGCCTATATTAGAGCTACATTTATAACTGACTGTCACACAGATTTTTATTTAGCTGTTTATAAAACCTTTTTTCAATTATGCAACATATTTAATAAGTGTCACATTTAAAGTTACTGTAACTTTTTTTTTAAGTATAATTTCTTACCACCAATATATATTCAATCTTTGAAATGTTCTCAACTTAAGTCAAATTATTTCTTCATCGTAAAGTCGGAAGAAAAGTTTCTTAACTTTTCACAAAGAAAAGCAATAAATATCATTCGGCTTGCAGTTTCTTCATGTTTCACCAATAAATTTAGTTGAATTGTTTTTTGGATCCCATTGAAAAGTGCCAACAGTCAATAAAAAACAAGCCACAAGAACCGTAGTAGCATAGACAAAACTGTAGGTGAACCAGCTATGAAAGAGTTTTTCTGGGGAAAACAATTTGCAAACAACTTTGGGAAAACAAACAGCGCACAAAACGATGCTGCCTAATAGCAGGCATTGGGCCAACTGTTTTTCGGGGGATTATGGCTGAGGGGGGATGGTCATCAGCACATATTCAGAAATATACTTCCTGGTAAACAAAAAGAAATGCTAGAACTGCAGTTCCAATTGAAACTGAAGAGGGTTTGGGAGGTGAGATGGGGGACTCCAAAGAAATTGCAGTAATTGACACTGAAAATGCGGCTGCTGTTGGGAGCTGGAAAATGTTGACGGCTACGATGATGATGATGATGCTGCTGTGCAAAGCTGATGATGCTGCAGTTATCTACGGCATAGCAAAATATATATAATTGCCCATAGAGACATGGGCTTAGATAGGAGGGGTAAGGTGAAAAAGTTGAATAATAAACACGCAAGGGGAAAACTTGTTAGATAAAACTGGGTAAAGTTCCGTGACAGCCCTTAATATTCTTAACAAATCAACAGACAAATACTATTATATACTAATAATATGGTATGCTGATAGACACTAAAATCAGCCTTCGCTTTAAACAGAACTAAATCAAGGGTAAAATCAGAAATCACTACAAAGTATTAAGGTGTCTAAACGTATGCAAAAAAATACTTTAAGTCTGGTTCTATGGATTCTTGCCGTCCTTTTTCACTGCATACTTTTAGACACCTTTAGAAGACATTTTAGAACCAAACATTTTTTTTTTTAAATTACTTGTGTTTTTTAAAATAGTATTAAATATTTTCCTGTTTCTTTACACTTTTTTCATATTGACTTGTGAAATCCGCCTTTATGATACGCCCCTGCCAATTCAGCATAGACAATTTCAATTGTGGCAAGTTCCATTTGCTTTTACCCGGCCTCGACACTTGGGAGAGTGTGTAGTTAATGAATGCAAAGAGTCTAAAGCTCAATTAATGAAATTTCATTTAATTATCTGCGGGCGGTGGCAGTCGAAATTGGCTGGGGATGGGGACAGTCGCCCCCCGGAGAATTCCCAGTGAATTCGCTTTCTCTCTGTTGAATGACTGGCGGCAATCGTACGTGTGGCATCTCATCGCCATCGCCAGGGCCCATTAGAACTAGGCTCAATTTTGCTTGGTCCTTTTGCCTTGGTGCCCATTTTACAGTTGGCCTCATTTGTGGGTCACATGCAACAGTTTGTCGCCAACCATGGCGGGGCAGGCAGCATCAGCAGAAGCATCAGCATCAGCATCGTGACTTGCCACATCGATCAATATTGTGTGCTGCGTTCGTACCGCTCGGCAATTAGTCTTTGGGGAGGCACTGGCTGTCCTTCATTTATATGGCAATTAAATTCCGCATTGAGAGCGAATGCGGCGATGTCTTGAGTGCCTCCTTGTGCCTTCGCCAGAGGCTGGGTTTTCCTATTTGCCACACGGAACGAGATGAGTTATGTCCTCCGCAATGGATAGTCCATGTTTGTTTGGGAGTGTTTCTCTTTGAATTGGTAATGAGATATTTGAGTTGGCAAATTGAAGATTCTAGGACTTCATGTATATCATCAATTATATAAATCATGACGTGCGTTTCGGGATATTGGCCATAAATTAACATGATTTATCGAGAAGCTGTAAATATTTAAAGGCATATCATATAATAAAATTAAAGCTGTTTACCAAGTGTGCTATATTATTTCAAGGAACATGTAGATACTTGTAATTCCTGTAATATTGATTAGTCAGTGCCAGAAACTTTTCTTTCAAATGAATTATTTTGGTATAGCTTAAAGCTCAAACTTACTTTTCATGAACTTCAAACCCGTTGATTAGCTGCTTACATAATTTGTAATTAGCTAAAGTCACCACACACTTTGAGTTTTCCCTCATCACCTCGTCGAAAACCGATTAGAACAAGTTAATTACAGTAATCGGATCCGAAAGTTGTTCAGAGCGTGACATAGTTGAGATTTTCTATGCATTCCGTGAGTTGTCTAGTTTTCCAATGCCCAGTTCACCTGTCAATTTGCATATAGCGTAGAAAAAGGCAAGTCAAATCAAGTCCAACATTGCAGTAATTACTTACAGCCAAAAAGAACAAAAATCGATCAGTAATTACACGCAAGCCCCTGCCAATTCAAATAATTGTCTGGCCAAGACGGCTATCAATCAGAGACTTCTTCTTAGGAGCGATGCAAATTGCTTTCGACCAGACCAGAATGAGCTGCGGTTTCACACAAAACTGACAAATGACGCAGGCAAAAAGGTGGTATCATAGCCCTGCACACGGAAAAATTATCAAATGTCACTAAAATCTTGGTAAAGATGTTAAGGATAAAAAAGATTAAGTATTTGGTATTTATTCTAAACAACAAACCATAAAAATTATAGGTAAATATAAAATATTTCGGTTATTATTTTCTTCATTACTAGAATAATTTCCATAAAGATTAATCACACTTTCATAGCTCAAACTTTAAGTTTAAAGATGGATGATATCTTATTATTTATAAGAGTTTTTATTATAGAGTGAAATAAATTCGACAACCAAGACTAATAGGGGTTCAAAAATTCGTAAAAAGCTGTTGCTCATAAAGTTGTACGAAATTCCTCACGATTTGATCCAATAGATTTTAAAGCTATAAATATACAGCAAATATGAACGGATTGTTCTTGAATCGTGAAGAATGTTCCTGAATTTTTCCGTCCTTTTTGTTTTTTTTTGTGTGTTGTAGTTTGTAAATCAATTTGATCTATTCTTTTCTGTGCAATCCGTACTCAATTGCTGACTGACTGACTTGACTCTCGGCTCTCTACGATCGAGTTGGAAAACTGCAAGCGACGTCTCCGCTAATTGATTTCGAGCGAGTGATTTGGCACATTTGGTTGCAGTTCATTAGCAAAAGCAAAGTTAGACTGCGCTGAGCTGCGTTTTGGGTTGGGCCCTTGCGATAGACAAGACTTGAGTCTGAATTCCTACTTGGCGTTCCAAAGACTCTTTTGGGTTGGGTCTGGCAAAAGGCGATGGCGATGGCCTACAATCTGGCACTAAAGCCGGCCGACTTGGCTCGAGGTTAACTAAAGAAAGTTGGCAACTATTTTGGCTCTAATGGATCTAACCATTTCTCCACTTTTCTTTCTATATTTTTTTTCTGCTCTAGATGAACGACAGCACATACAGAAGAAAACATTCACGAAATGGATCAATTCACATCTCATCGATACCCAGTGCACGCCAGTGAAGGATTTGTTTCTGGACCTGCGGGACGGACATCGGTTGTTGGCCCTGCTGAGCACCCTGACACAAACACACCTGGTCAGTATAGATCACTTATGATTAATGATCGAGATGTGTCCAAGAGATTGGTATTCGGCTTTAAAAAGGGTCAGAAGATAGCCTTGAGAATGTATTTGTATTTACTATATTTTGAATTACCAAAGGTGCTCAGAATTTTGTTTAAAAAAGCATATACTAATTACGATTCTAAAAGGAATTTAGCTTTAACCTTTTCAATATACTTGTCCCAAAAAATGTTATAAAAACGTATATTTATAACGACCTTAAAAGGATTTAACAATGGAACCTTACCTTTTAAGTGTTACGTTACATTCTGAAATATGGTATTCTTTGTATTCTGAAAACCGAATCAGTCTTTAGATAAATGGTTTAATATCTCACATACATAATTATGTAAACTAAACGAACAAGACCATTAACTTGAAAATGTAATAATTCGATGTTTCCTATGTTCTACTCCCTTTAGAAACCCGAAAAGGGTCGAATGCGGGTGCACCACATCAACAATCTGAACAAGGTGATAACCGTGATCCAACAGCACGGGGTCAAGTTGGTGAACATCTCCAGCGATGACATAGTGGGCGGTAATGCCAAGCTGACCCTTGGCCTCATCTGGCTGATAGCGCTGGAGTTCAATGGCCAGCATCTAGTCAAGAGTCATTCGAGCAACGGGGTGGAGAAGTCCCTGTTGGCCTGGGCGCGTCAGTACACGGAACCACATGGCATGCAACTCAATGATTTCTCCAATTCGTGGTCCGATGGCAGAGCCTTCCTCATGATCCTGGATGCCCACGTGGAGGAGTTGAATTTGCAGGCCGCCTTGCAGCAACATGCATTGCAGAGACTCCACTTGGGTTTCGATTTGGCACACCGGCATTTCAAAATCGAAAAGCTGCTGGATGCCGAGGATGTGCACACCCACAAGCCCGATAATAAATCGATACAGATGTATGTGATGTGCCTGTACCATGCCATGGAATCCATGAGGGCAAGGGAACAGGATGAGGGACAGGATCAGGATCCGAGCAGAGTGCCCTGCACCAGCATCACAGACTTGGACGAAGTGCCGCTGGACAATGATCGTGCCAGCTTGGAGCTCTACACCTCAGATAGTGCTGGTAGTATGGAGCAGCGATCCTCAGGGGAACTGAAGACCCACTCCATGCGCCCCTTGAGCACGGCCACCAATGCCAGTGTGGAGATCAGTGGCTATCAGACAGCTCTCGAGGCAGTACTCACCCTCTTGCTGGAGGATGAACAGCTGCTCTCACAGGATCTTCCCGATCCCGAGGACTTCCACACCGCCAAACTGCAATTTCACGAAAACGAGAGCTTCATGCTCAAACTAACCGAACATCAGGAGTATGTGGGAGAAGCCCTGGAAGAAGGTAGCAACCTCATCAACGAATCCCAGAAAGCTGGAGCTGGTCTAAGTCAGGAGGATCAGAACGAAGTGAGACAACAAATGGTGTTGCTCAACGAACGATGGGAAACTTTGAGGTTGCGAGCCCTGGATGTCCAAGCAAAAATCCTAATGCGATTGGCCGAATTCCAGAAGCAAAAACTCGAACAGCTTCGACAGTTTCTAACCAGTGTGGAGGATCGTATTTCCCACATGAGCGATATAGGACCCACTCTGGGGGAAGCTGAGAAGCAACTGCTTGAAGCTCGAAAACTGAAAGCCGACCTGAGTGAACAGCAGGAATTGGTGGATAGTCTGAGTAGTATGGTGGTCATTGTGAATGATACCTCTGGCAACTTTAATGATCTAGAAGATCGTCTGAGTGCCCTGGGCGAGAGATGGTCGCATGTGGTTAAGTGGAGCGATCTGCGAACCGAGAAACTACAGCAGTATAAATGTATCTCCAGATGGTTGGATGCCCGTGAGCAGGATCTCAAACTGATGGAGAGCAGGGATGTCACCGATGTGGGGGGTATTACTCAGCGTATTAACGAGCTCAACTATTGTGCCAAGGATCTGCTGGAACTTCAGAGATATCTGATAGATCTGAGACAAATGGTGGCTGCCACTTTGCAGGATGGCGATGACAAAGGGGAAAGGGTTCTCATCCAGTTGGAGAGCTACGAAGATCGTTTGGATGCCTTGAAACAGATAGTTGAAGTGCAAACGGTGAGGATAGAAACCAAGGGCTTTAACTTTGGACGAGATCGTGCGAGTTACGATGATAGTCGGGTGGTGCGTCCTGATGGCTGGGTGGATTACCAGATGATCATTCGCTTTGGCGAAGAGGAGTCTCAAGAGGACGACGAGGAACATGATTTGGCCAGCAAAAAGCGAAAGCTGAGGAATGCTGATAACTTTTATGCCCTGGAAAATCAGATCATGGAGCACTTTGTCTTCGTCCAGGAAGTAGAGCAGAAGTTACAGCAATTACAGAGACAAAGTCTGCGGCAACAGTGTGATTTACTCAAGGAACTTCAGGCGGAAAATAACCAACGTAGTGGTACTTTACCCGAGCTTAAGAAACTCTACGAGGTGTGTGAACTGGAGGATCCTTCGAGGAACCTTCTTTTAGAAGAAACCCACATCAAGCAGTTGGAGCAAAGATATGCAACTTTGGCTCAGAGACTAACAAGCCAGCAGAGCGAAAGTAGCACGCTCTTGGCCAAGGAAAAGTATTATAATAGTCTTACTGGATTTAAATTAGTCTTAGCTGATTCTAGGGATTGGTATAAACAACACGCTGGTTCAGCAAGTGGCAAAGAACTGGAGCAACGTTTAAGCCATATGGAATCCCTGGCCTCAGAGATTTCAGAGGCTAAGACAGCCACCGAAGAGTTGGATAATACGCTGCTGGAATGGAAGCAGGATTTCGGTCTGTTCTACGACAGTTGGCATGACATGAAGCAGGCTCTACAGGCACTCATCCAACAGAGGGGTGGTGAAAGTCTCTCCAGACAGTTGAAGCAAATACAAGATTTTGTAACCAAAGTATCGAATCAAAAGGTACGCGTTTCCAATCTGGAGGTCATGCAAAAGCAGCAGCATTCCCTCAACCAATTGGTAGATGAAATGGATTCCCTCCGACCAACCTATGATAATTTACCAAAACACCTGATTGGCGAAGAACTACAAACCATTTGGAATAGACTTCCTGAACAGCTAAATGAGCGTGTGATTAAGCAAACAACGGCAATTGAAAATCTAAACCACTTTGCAGCGGAGTACAATGCCATTATAGCCATTTTGCGAAGTGCTGCGGATTCAAAGTTGAATGAAAGCAGTCAGGATCTCCGGAAACTAGAGATCGATGTGATAAGCGCTAGGAATTTCAGCGAAATTCTTATCAAAGAGGCAGAGCCTGCCCAAAAAGAATCCCTTCAATCGCAGATCAGAGCTCTGAATACGCTGTACGATCAAGTGGAAAAGGTTCATCGGGAGAAGAAACAACAGCAGACAGCCCTGCAGTCCCAGATTGATCTCATCCAGCAGAGACTGAAGAAAACTGATCAATGGCTTACTGACCTCGAGAGCAATACACCCAAATCGGGAATCAACGATATAGGTAACTCCAACGAGCTGTTCCAGAGCAAGTGTCGCTTCCAGACTCTCAAGGAGACCTGCGAGAAAGAAACCATACAGTTTAGGGAACTCAACGAACTGGGCGGTGAGTTGCTCCTCCAAATGGATGAACTTCAGGATAAGGATAGGGAATCCCGATACGGATCGCTGGCCAAGCAGTTCACACGCATCAATGCCAGATGGACAGAGGTCACCGAGCTGGTTTATGCGAAGACAGCTCTACTCGAGCACATATCAACGCAGCTGGGGGAGTTCAAGAAGTTCATGGTGAGCGAGACGGGTTACCTGGACAAGTTGGAGAACAAGATACGCAACACGCCAGAGAATGCTGCCGACGCCGAGGAGATCATGGAGGAACTTGATGTGAGTTGGTATTACATTGCATGTTAAATCT